GTCCCACAGTGAGATTTACCATTTCTGGTTTTAGCTAAATATTTTAATACTAGGTTTATGACCAAATACAGTGAGGAACAGAAGTATTTGAACACCCTGCGATTTTGCAAGTTCTCCCACTTAGAAATCATGGAGGGGTCAAACTGGAGACTCTTAGTCTTGTGCAATGAGTGCATCCTGAATTATATATTTCTTTTTATTGAAATTATCTCTGTAATCTTCACTGTATTATTCTACAGTGTAAGAGCTTGCTGTTAACAGCCATTATTTTGAAGCTTCTGAATAAAACTAAGATATGCTTTACATTACAGATTAACCTGCTGGTTGTTTTTTTTAGATAGTTTGTCAAATATCTGGACATATTTAAAAAACGTCTATTCCAAGATGTCAGAGCCCCAGGGCGGCAACTTCTTCTTTTTTTTAAATTTTATTTTGTCCAACCAGAAGTCCAAAGGCTAAATTGTTATGTAACTTACTAACATAACATAGAGAAACACAGCAAATCTTTTCATTTAACAAACTAGAAACCACATGTTTAACATTTTAGCTTGACAATCAACTTCCTAATCATCACAGTAGTTGTTGTTGCTGAGAAGGGCAACAGGTATTAGGACAAGTCCTGACGTAATTTCTCACACCGCCACTTGGCATTATACATTATATACATTGTACAAGTATAATCTATTTTAGCATGTTTCAAATGGCAGGTTTCTTCTGTAGTCACCTGATACTGCATACTTTTTAATTTCATCCAAACACAGTTATGCCACATTATACTTGTGCATGAAATTGACTCACTGTCCGAATATGCAGGGTTGTTGTAGAAAATACATTCCGTGGTCCTATTGAAGCCGCACACAACCACAAAGTGACCCTGGTACTCTGGCTTCCTGCAGAAACACTTCTGACCCACAGGCAGGAAGCAGCAGTATTTTACAGGTGAGGAGCACAGTTCACACGTTAAGATGACAGCATTTACCAGCACTATGGCAACGTGGCCCTGCTCCAAGTGAGACTGGATTTCCTGAACGGTTACACAACTATGGAAAGATAACCCACAATACACTTCAGGTTTATTGTGACCAAGGCAAAAGCAGGTGACTTATCCAAGTGAACAGTACTTAAAACAAACTCACCATTTCCTTATCACTACACCTTTGCTCTCAGCTTTAAGGAAGAGCTCATTCACTCTGTCTTCTTCTGTATCAAAGTGCTTCTTGTAAAAAGACTGCAAAACAAACCAGATGACAACAAAAATACTATCACAAACACAAAACTAAGAAATCGAATTAGGGTTAACTTAAGAATGACCAAAGTACCTGATTCCTAAAGCCCTTATCGACACCCAGAGTCTGTGTGCAGAAGCAGTGTTTGATTCCCAGATGGCACATCAGGTAGGCCAGGTCAACAGTCCATACGCTCTCTGTCAGCTTCAGCTCCCAGCATGCCCTCTGAAACTCCTCATCACTGACAGGGTGGAGGTACCTGCAAGAAGGGAAACACTGTGACTCACCTGAATATTACACACTTCAGTGTTACTAGGAACCACAAGTTCTATATAATTTGTGCACTGAAGACTGTAGTGATTTAGAACATATTTAGCCAAGGGGATAATGCAAAGCAATTTACATGTATGATTTGAGAAGTTAGTAACGTTACTGTACACTTACTTCAGGACCATCCTGGAGCAGGCTAAGCCACAGTCCCAGTGGTAGAGCTGCCGAATGACAGGTACATTCAGCACGACCTCATCCTCTAAGAAAATCCGCCATGATATTATTACTCTTTCAAAACTCCCTAAACATTGTTGAACGTACAAACTGAGTATTCTCAAAATAATACTATATTAGCCCAGTATTTATTGGCTGAATGTTACTCACCTGTCATTCTGTTGTATTCTTTCTTAGATTAACGGCCAACTAGCTAACTCAAAACAAGCTGGTTAGTACTGTTTACAGCTGTTAAACCGGTGTTGCGGTGCTGTCCTCATCGATGCTAACCAGAACAAATCAGCTGGTCAACTGCAAGTTTAGCTGTCGGGCTAAAAGCACTGACTTGTCTGTTGGCCGGTTCCTACTTATAGAGCGAAGCTAGCGCCTCGACGAACCCCGCTGCCAGACATACATACAATGAGCAGTAACCTATATAAATTAAACATAAAGGACAGATAAACTCAATTTTAGCAAGCTTTCATAACAATGCCGCCAGCTAAAGGTCTGCTTCTCTCCCCTGCCGTTGATTAGCATCATGGACGGATTAGCTTCTTGTGTTTGGTGACTCAGTTACAGTTATGCTGCCCCCAGCGGCGTGGAGGAGTCATCGTCGATCTGTGGCTCAAGATACAAGTTGAAATTAATAACAGTATTGTATAATACCTCAGTCTCTTCTGAAAGAGGACTGTGCCAACCAGAAGTATCTGGATGCAGCACAACACTAGTGACATGTCGTTCACGAACGATTCGTTAGGAACAAATAACTCAAGACTTATTACAGATTGTGTATTGCAAGACAAACTTCTACTGGGGCACAGGACCCACATAACACACACTTTTTTTCTTGAATGTTTATTGCTTTGCCCACTATTCCACTGCCTGCTGCCCTTACAACAACTACTGGTAAAGGTAAACATGTATAGATATTGTGCAATGGATAGCTGGTGGTGACACACCTGTCTCCATAGAGGTCCCTGCACAGGCATCTTTCTCCACACTTTCCCTTCCTGCCTCAAGTTCATTTGTTTGTTAAAAGTCTATAAAACAAATATTATTTGGACTGTGTGACAAGAGCATCAGATACAGTATGTTATAGGTTATTCATTAAAAGCAGAATGAATAGTCCAATGTTAACATCAACCACTATGTGTGATGTACACTGACTGGCCACTTTATTAGGTACAGCTGTACAATTGTATGCACTTCAATGCAACAATTTTGCCTTCAGCTTCTGCTGATCGTCACTGTTTCTGGTTAAAATGACAACCAGCGGGGTTGTACCAGCTGTCGCTAACTAACATTAACTCCGTGACTTAAATTGATGACAGGACAAAATGAAACTCCCTGTTGCCGGGTTTGTGACCTCACTGCAGCTGGCGGACAATGCTGTCTGCTGTTAGATGAAGATCGTTTTTGAGGTAAGGAGGCATCACTGTAACACCACTAAATAATCAGAGAGAACTGAATGTTTCTCTGTAGTTTGAACAACTCGGAGTGACACATCTTTACAGGTATAACTATCAGCTGATCTCACATCAGTGATGGAAATGTATGTTTTACACTGAAAAACATACATTTTTTGTATGTATGTTTTACACTGAAAGCTGATTTCTCAAAGTTTGAATTTTGGGTGCCAGCTCGCTTCTACCCAGCTTGAGCATCACCTGCTGAATAAAGCTTAAAGTGGTTTTCATGCACTTGGGGTACTCCCGGTGCAGAGCATACAACAGTCTGAAAAGGACACAGAAGGCCTGAGCTGAGGCAGGTTGGCCAGTTCATCCATCACTACACTCCTTTCCAAGATGATGCCCACTCTGGATGCGTTGAGCTGAGGATTTTCTTGATCAACACAGAGAATTCCCACTGGAGTTTCACTGTATAGGTCCTTGTCAGTTACATCCTAATGGAGAGAAAAAAAAAAAACAGATTCTCAAGGAGAGAACATAATTATGCCTGTTAGATAAAGCTGTTATCCACCAAAAAGTACCTCTGACTATTTCCAATGAAAAGCATCATATAACATAATTATTTAAAAAAAGGCAATACTGGTCTTAAATTGACTTTTCATCAACTGCCATAATTGGATCTGTACATTACATGTACTGTTTGCAAAACCTTACTGTTGTGCCATAATTCAACAATGCAGATATTCAAAAATGTATTGAAAAATGTTTTTAGTTCAAATTTGTTAGGCCATAAAATAGAAGTCTGGGAAACACCAGATACTGATTAAATGATTCTGAAAAGTAGTAGCAGGCAGTCCTCATTAATGGCCTAAATTAGAAACAAGGGTTAATAACTATGCACCTGCAACATTTACAACAAATTAAGTTTCTTACAGTGCAGGTCTTGAAGAAGGGAGAAGGATCATCCCCCAAGATGACTGGCAGTTCCTGAAGACAAAGGCACTTGATGTCTGTTGGCTCAGTGGTCTGCAAGATAGTGGGCATACCTCACATGTACAGTATTTACAGCTTCAGAGAGTACAATGTGTAATCAAAGTATGGTACAAGGAATCCCAGAGTAAGGTCAATACGGTGCTGCTTAGTGTTTTGGTTTTTATCAGTGTAACAAAATAATTTATCCTCTTTAAACACCACACCAATATTGTGTAATACTGTGTTTTTGGCATAAAAGAAATGATTGATTTATCCATTCATTCACCCTCATCAATTTATAACACTTCATTATGCCTACTCTGTGAACCTTTACAATTCTGAATCAGTTTTCTTATTGTACATGTCTGTATTAAGGTGTATCAAACACAAATAGTAGAATCAGTTGAGGAAACAAAAACATCATGTTACAACTTCTATTGTCTGATTATTTCAGTGCGTGTAATGAAGAGATGTTGGAAAGAAACTCATTCATATTAAAATGTTATAGCAAAAATCAGAGCACTAGTAAAAGCTGAGCCCATCATAGTTCACCTGAAGTAATTCTGCTGCATTTTATTACATTAAATGGCTCCAGAAATCTAACATTTTCAGAAGCCAAAGCTGGGTAAGGAAGCTGTAGCCCTGTACAACAATCTATCATTCAAACTGTGTTGTCAAAGTGCAGTTGGCCCCTGCATATAGAACCTACAGAAACCGTCTCATGCTCAGTGTTTCTTTGATAGCTGGAAGAAAACGATATGCACATGATCACAGGTCTGCTGATGTGGCACAGTGTGAAAAGCTATAAAAAGCAAAACAGCACAACTACAGCATTTAATATTAAATGTTTTTCACAACTGAAGAAAAGGGGTTTGTTGGCTGTCACATTCAGCACCAACAATTGTAGTAAGGCCTTTAACAACAACAACATCAAACAACAAAACAAAGCAAAAAAGACAGAAAGAAAGCACATTTTAAAATCACAGTAAGCATTTCCCCCCGCGTAAACAGGGTAATTAGAGCCTGCAGGAGAACTGCAAGTGAGGTCACTAAAATGCTGTTACTAAGGGGAATGTGAAAATATCCTGACCTGTACTCTATTCTAAGGACAAAAGTCCAGACTAACAAGCAAACAAAGAGAGACACACGGCCTGCCTGTACCCAGTTTCATCACTGTGAATGAAGACAGAGAGCGAGTGTGTGCTTGTGCTACCTTTGACCTTTCCACATTTTGACCCGGCCATAATCCATGTAGTTCTGCTGCCCAGTGTGGTTTTTCTACACCAAACAAAGTTTCATGTCATTAAACTGTGCTTGTTTCAAAAAACACTTTATTTCCTTTGATGATTTTCAGAGTGATCAAATGACATGGAGGAATTCATCAGAAACTAATAGAACATTTCATAACGTTTATTACTTGTAGAGTTGTACATGAGGCCAAAGACAGTCTCCACATCAGGACTGCTGGAAGCGACGCAGGCAAGGGGTCTTCATATCCCCAAAACAATTCATCCACAGTGCAAGTAGTGAAGAGCTCAGACCCGACAGAGCTCATCCATATGGACACCATAGAGGCCTTCCAGAAACTCCCTTTCACCTTGTTCATTACAGGCTATAGGTGGAAAGAGGAGAAGAGATGGAAAAGAACATTTGGTGAGGAAGCAATAAAGTGAAGCAAGAAATCAGGTGCAACACACAGACAACTCTCCCCCACTTGAACGTCCATTTTCCTGTACTTGTTTAAAGCCCTTTATGACTCATCCAAGCAGGGATGTTGACAGTGGTGATGTTATCCACAGCTGGATCCCCCACAGATTTCTCTCTCACGAATACAAAGCTTTTGACATAGTATGCAGACACCAACGTGCCATTTCCCGCCACACTCACATTGTCCTTGTATCTGTATTCTCTGCACAAAACCCAATAAGATAGAAGTATTTAAATATTCTTTTATTCTAGAATTTTTTTCTGTTTTGCAAATGAACATTACAGACCAGATAAAAACTCAAAAAGCTTTGGACATAAATATACTGTAGGTTGATATTTAATTTCATCCCATGACTCCTTCATTTCAACACATCCATCTAACTACTGTAAATTATGGGTTCAGTGGTAGATGCAGATTACCTTGACTTACTGTAGCTGACATTTTGATGTTCCCACAATGATCCTTGATATTTATCTAAAGGTTTAGAATTTCTAATTTACACCAAACAAGTTTCTTCTCAAAACTAAACAGGGTATGAGACAACTTGCTGCACATATCAGTTTTGATCTGATAACATTAACAATGTTCTGTTCATTCTTATGCTTTATGAAATGCAGAGAAACCAGAAGTACTATATAGAGAACTATTTTCTCATGTACAAAATCTAATTTGGGGTGTGTAGTGATGCTGATGCAGTCAGAATTTGGAGTCAAAAAAACAAAGTAAATATAAATAGCAAGGCATTTTGTTGCAGCTGACTGATGGGGGAACACCTAACACACCACTAATCATTGCCATCTAAATGTAGATGTATCCATCCATTTCCCTGCATCTCATGGGACCAGGAGACATAACGATAACACAAACAGAGATGAGATCATGAAAACATTTTGGCAGATCAAAACTTTCCCTGGGTGAAGCACCAAAACAACATAAAATAATACATATTTACTTTATGTTATATGCTTTCACAATAATGCAATACATTATGATACGATCAGCAGAGAGTGAGTGGAATGTATACTAGGTAAAGTTCGGTCAATGAAAATAAATACACTCCATTATAACAAAGCTCCAAATTCAAAAATAACATTGTTCAAACTACATATTAGCTAATGTTTCTCATAGGCTTGAATATGAAATGTTTTCACTTATCAACAGGAACCATGCTATTCATCCTCGTCCTCCAATGCATATGCATCCAAATGATGTATATCATTTTATTGGATTATTATTAGTGATGCATTATTGTGTTCATCACATTTAGTGTTGCAGCTGCAGTGAAGCTGCAGAGTAAATGTATTTAGTTACATAGTTGGCATAATTTATGGTCAGAACTACGACGGTATCTGATTGTCTTCGACTTTCGTTCTTGATTAATGAAAACATTCTTGGCAAATGCTTTCGCTTTCGTCAAACTTGCGCCGGTCCAAGAATTTCACCTCTAGCGGCACAATACGAGAACCCACAAAATAGAACCGGAGTCCTATTCCATTATTCCTAGCTGCGGTATTCAGGGAAATAAAGGGAAGATGTGAAAGGGAAGATGAAATGTTGAAACGTTGTAGTAGTTGTGCCTGATTAAATAGATTTTTGTGGGAGCATTTAATCATTTTGCAGGCTTTAATGTAATCTTTGTAATCTGATCACTACATAAAAATGTCCCCATATTGATGTTATGATGCTACTCAGTTCCATAGCTGGTGCCCAGTGATATCTGTAATATAAAAATAGAAAGAGTTTAAATGTGTAGTGAAGAAAGTAATATTTTATTAAAAACTAATTACTGTCAGCAGTGGGGAATGTAAAAGGGGAACTTTTCACTTACTGATTCAGTGCCAGAATTGTCACTCAGATATGTGAATTTATGTTTCTTGTAAACATCGCTTTTTGCCATGCAATTTAATATAAACCAGTCAGAAACTGCGGAAACCTGGGGAAAACACGTAAAACACTCAGTTTCTAGGTATCATCAGTTTTTGTTTTTGTTTTTGTTTGTTTTTTTACAGAAAATGGATTTTTTAAAATTATATAACAGGACTGAACATGTGTACTCACCAAACTGAGGAACGACAATGCTGCACCTAAGTTAACTATAGTTGGTACAATTCCAAATTTTCCTGCCTGTAAGATAAAAGTAAAAACCGCAATTACTATTCATGCAAAGTGATCACATGCATTGGAGTGAAGTCATTGTAAGCATAAATTTTATTCAAGCCTCACAGTTCCAAATACAATGACATCAAAACGGATCCCGTATGCTTTCATTAAGGTTCTGGTTTCTTCTCCATCTGCAGTCCTGTAGTATTTGGCAAACCTAAGAGCAGAATTTGTTTGATCAGTTTTTCACCCATTTATACTAAATAAACTGTGTCAAAACTATTTTTACCTGAAGTTGTATCCCGGAGCCACATTATTGACATGGTGTTTGTTGTCAAGCCTGCTGAAGCTGTACTTGGGGTAACACTTCCCTGCCCATGAGTCCAGGTCACAGCTCCAGTCAATAATAATACCAATGATGCCACCCTTTACAAACACACAAAAACTTGAAAACAACACTCACTTTTCAACTGTGTACACAAATATGACATTCATGCACGTCCTGACAACTGAAAGTCAAAGGACCTAAGAGACAAGGAAGTGTGGGGGGGTAAATTAGGAACATTTGGAACAATGTTTGCCATATTGAATTCTGAAAATACCATCACAGCCATGTCTTGAAACTCCTCTCCAGCCTCTGAAACAATGTGTTTGAGGCGGAATATCGGGCAGTGAGGATCTGTTGCATGATTGAATTCACACCTCTTCAAGTATGAGGAGTTAATATGTGGCAGTATGTTCCTTCTGGAGGAGAAAGGAAGACAAGTGATATAATGGCACACTGTAAAACAGTATGTTTGCATATACTGACCTGATAAGAGCCTACACTTCTCCCTCAAGCTGCTTTGAGAAACAATATACAAACTAACCCATGAAAGCGGAACTTCGGGTATGTAATGCTGTTTTTGATCAACACAGTGTAGTTCTCTGCTGCAGCCAGCAATGCAGGTCTATGAGAGAGGACAAAGCCATGTCAAACCACAGCTACATTATACTATAATTACTCATAAATACTAAAATATTGCATGTATTCTTACTTAGGCAGCACAGCGTCTATTTCAAGAGGGCACCATGAACGCACTTCACAGGTCTGTACAGTTGTAGAATAGTTCTCACACAGTCCAGTTTGTATACCTATGTGGAAAATGAATATCAGTTGAATGGTGATACTATACATACGTTTATCTGACTCATTTTAGTAAAGGAAGTTGATATATCAAAGCCCTACCGCTGCCTTGAGGATTACTGTGTCCCTCAGTACAGTCACAGTCATCCACACAAGTTGCTGATGGACTTGGAAGCTGGAGGAGAAATGGCCAGTGTTAACCTGTCATTGCATTATGTTATCAGACATTCTGATATGTCAGAGCAACAAAAACACGGGTGGTGCACATACCATTTACAACAGCTCTGCTCCAGTGAAGTCTACTAGTAAGTTATGTCAAAGAACCAAAATGCAAAGTAGCCGTGTTCTGTGACAGGCAGGGCTAAATGGATTGAGTTATTATTTTTAATAATAGCTGCATGTTTTCAGCTATGATAGGTCAAGATACAGTGATCACTGTTTATGCTATTTATTTAGCAACAACTACAGCCATGCTAGCAGCTTGGTGAGGCTGTATTTAGGCACAGCAGTGCTGTGAGTTAATGCTAAAATCAACATGCTCACAATTACAACACTCACATGCTGATTTCACCACCATAGTTTTGCATGTTAGCATGCTAACTTTTTAAAAATATTATAGTAGCAAATGTTATGTCTGTGCAGATTCTCAGTCATCCAGGTCATAGTAAGATGAAAAACTTACTAGAAACTAGAAACCTAGTCCAGTTGATTTTTTTCTAAGTTTTTCACCTTACCAAATGTTTTTGCACTCCATTCAGTGGCACTATAATAATAGTGTATATAATATCATGCAGCATCAGTACCTCACCTCAGGACAACGTGACTGAGTCTGTGTTGGGGTGACAACCATATTTGTCATCACAAAGAAGGAATTATCAGACTGTAAGAGAAAGATGCAAAACAAATATCACAAGGCAATAAAACTAACTGTGGTAAAACATACTGTGTACATCAGTTTCACACAAGTGCCATGCCATGTACCACGGATGATGAGTTAGGATGGACAGCGGTCACTGAGGTTGCATGTGTGTTTATAATAAAGATGATACGTTTAAATACCTGAGGGGGGATCACATAATCAGCTGTGTCCCAAACACGGGGGCCCATGTCAGATGTGTTAGTGAAAGCAAAACCTTTCACTTTGGTGGAGACACTACTGATGACAGAGTCTGTCTCCTGGTAGGCCTTCTGCACCACACACACATACCTGCAGGTTTACAGCAGAAGGCCTGTTATATTTTAACAATGCAATCAAATCATCACGTTACCACACAGCTCAGTACTACAATGTTTCACAAGTAGCTTAGCTGTACATCCACATTTTACCAAATCCCAACCCAGTACAATGTTCCACCAGTTTTTCTTTACTCACCCCACAACGTACAACAGCACCAGAAGCTGGATGAACCTGAACAAACATCCTGCCTGTATGCTTGGAATAACCAGTGTTTTGTTTGTTTCATAATATAACAGATCATGCAGACAGCTCTGGCCACAGCCTGTAGTCTCACTCATTGCTGCTCCACACACCAGTGACGGACTGTGGACACAGCTTCCCTTATTCAAATCATTGTATTCAAATCATACTCACTGCATGAAGACATCTTTGACTTTGTTTTGAATGTGGTGGACTGTGGGCAAACTGTAAAGTATGTCTGATCAAACCATATGTGTAGGACAGTAAAGCCTGTTACATTTTTTTTTGTTGTGTTTTTTAACTGAGTGCTTTTCAAACAAGAACTATTAACAGTTATTCCATATAGGCCCAGGGTCTTTATGATACGTTGGGGGCCCTGGGCCTGTGCCTGTGCCTGTAAGGCACCATACTGGTGGTTTGATTGCTCTGTTTGACTGACTGTACTTAGGGAGCCATTAATAAAACCAGGGACTACAAATGAAAATAGTCAATTTAGGCTAATTTCTGCACATTTGCAGATATGTACACTTATGTTTCACTATTACAGCCAAATATATATTTCATTTCTATATATAGCATTATTTTCATTGTTTTAGTTTGTCCATTATCTGGATATTTTACCATACATGAGGATAGGAACATGTTAAACACAGTGCGCTAACCACAGGTTATGGATATAGCCCTGTACTGTAAATACATAAGATTCTATATTTCATACTTTGTTTATTCATGGTGTGTCATATTATTCCTGTGCAACTGGTTTATTAGTCCAGTCTGTTACTTAAGAGAAGCCATGAAAGTGTCTGTAGAAAATAAACCAGTTCTGAAGTGCATCCAGTATAAAATATGACTGTGTTCCAGTTTTTATCTCCAAAATGTTGACACCAGCCTTTAACAGGCACCAATATATTGTGTAGCTACTGTGTGCCTCTGCAACTTCACACAGCACCAATTTAAATATAAAGTAGACACTTAATACATGACACACACAAGTTAGTGATTTCAATGTGTGGAAGCTGCATGACAGGAGAGTGAAACCTGCTAAAACAAACACAAAACTACTCTGGTCTGACGAAACTCAGAGGATACACTGCAACGATTACAATGACGCCTTTGTTAAAAGAACTCCCCACAGATTTACATGTCACTTTCAGATACTCACACAGCAAACTGATTAAAAGGCTTGTAAAACCAAGTGTGCACAATGAAGAAGGCATTTGCTGAACCATTCACCATTATTATTCTTATGCACTGTATATTAGAAAAGAAAAGCTGTAGTGAATGCTAAAAGCTTTCAACTCTGACAATCTTACCACTGGAAGTTTTAACATTTACATACAATGAGTACAGTGTTTTATGTTGCAAAATCAAGGTACATTTTTTTTATCCCCACAGGGCAATTTGTCTTGCAGCCAGCATTAAGCAACCATACAACCACATGGTCAACACACATAGCAAATGCAATAAAAACACATCACAAGAAGAGGGAGAGGGAGGGCTGAGTCGTGTAGTACTGTTCAGGTAGCTGAGATAAATTAATTCTTAAATCTATTTGTCCTACATGTTGTTAAAGCAAATCTCAGACCAGACGGCAGCAACTTGTACCAAAAAAGCAGGTGGCTGTCATCGCCGTAACTGCCCATGCTTTCCTCACAGCTCTGCTCCTGTATAAACTGTCAAGTTCATCACAATTTGTGCAATTTTACTACACATCCTCACAATGTTCTCCAGCATCTTCTTGTTTTTTTGAATTAAGGGACCTGAAGCAACAAATAAGTGTTGAAATGGACATTTTCATTAGAGTAGCTACGCTAAAACCACTTGCACTGACTATATTTGCAAGATATTCAATTCTGAAGTGCATGAGTTGAAGTGGGTAACAATAAGAACATGAAACCAATGTTAGTTAGGATTCAGTTTTTTTTATTCATAACACCTATAGACTTCCATGAACACAGGACAAATACAGTGTCACTTTGGTCCAATAGTACCTCAGTTATATAAAGTCTGTGTAAAAAAACATTTCGGCTCACAGACACCATCCCATTGTCACTGCCTTCAATAATATGTTCATACCCACCTTCTTTCAAGTTTCTTTCACTTATGAAGTCCATGTTGTGTCATATTCACACAGGTAAGAAAGGCTACAGTAGACTGTATACACAATATGCACATGTTTGGTTTTTGACAAACATATAAAATCATCAATAACTAAGATATAATTATTTTTTGAGTTCAGTGCTGAATTTTCAAGTACAATATGAAGGCATCTATTGTAGTGAAAAAAGGAACATTGTCCACAGTTTTGAAGATACAGTGAAATGTTGACCAAAAATAAAAAAGTTTCATGTTTGTGTTCTCCAGTTGAACCCAACATAATGAGGCTGACACATTAGAAACCAGCTGCCAAGTTCACTCACTTTCCTATCTTTGAAAATGCACCCTCTCACACAACGAACAAGCTCCAACCGTCTGTTTCTTCAGCCGCTAAACTTACCCCACATTTCAGTAATGTTGCAGTTACAGTTTTCCCAGATTGCTAAAACACTTTGCACAAAACCCATACCCTTACCTATTATATATACTGTATATGCGCATTTGGCAAACACTTGACTGCGTTTGAGCTCAACGGGCAGAGTTTTTTTTCCCCATGTGTAAACACTAAACCACAAAATTTAAATCATCCCAGTCAGAACAGCAGGATCCTATAAAAACAGGGCCCCAGCTGTGCCTGCGCTCTGGAACAGTGGATCCAAACCAAACAGAAGGTGGAAGACATCAGAAGGGTGCTGGAGGTGAAGAACTATCCTCCACTGCTGTGCCACTTTGGGTTTCTATAACAGCACATCTATGTGGAGCCCCAGAATGTTATCACTGGGGTAAAGTTAGTTTCCATCAGGCTGCTCTGGTTCTATAACCATCCCACAGTCACACATCTTTTCTTGCCTATATATTGCATATGTTTCTCAGCATGACATAAGAAAGTGTATGACAGAAACCTTTACACAAGGAAAAAGCTTTTGGTGGCAATGGAAGAGGCCCATGGTGATGTGGAAACCATCCAAGGGTGGATAAGGCAGACCAGAGCACATCTCTGACACTGCTGGTAAGGGGTAACATCTTATATAATGTGGATGAAATTTTATGGCCTGACCCAGACCAGAGGAGACATGGAGAATGATGCAAAGTAGCTGGAATTATATTTACATCGTGCTGAACTGTTTTATAGCAGTGTGAAATGGTATTTGTTTGTAGCGTTGTTTTGAATGTCTCTTGACAGTGTGTTCCTATATCGAGAATCTTTACAGTCAGTTCAAAATAATGCAAGTTACCTAAAAAATACCGGTTTTAGGGAAAAAAAAAAAAAAGCTAAAAAGGTGATGGCAACCATTCTACTAAAAAAAAAGGTCCACGGATTTCATATTCGGCTAAAATCGAAGTCAAGCCCCCCGTCGTGCAGGGTACCTTCGTTTGCATTGTCAAAGCTGTTCTTGCCATGGATCTGCTTGAGATGCTTTCGAAGAACAGGCTTATGAGCAAACACCATGTCACAGTAGTTGCAGCGGTGGGGTTTGTCCCCACTGTGCAGGTTTAGATGGTCCAGCAATGAACACTTTTGGGTGAAAGTTTTACCACAGATTTTACACTGGAAGGGCTTGATGCCCGCGTGGACGCGCATGTGGCGGTGCAGGTTTCCCTTCTGTGTGAAGGTCTTGCCACACAGGAGACACATGAAGAGCTTATGCATCTTGAGATGGTTGGCATAGTTCTCCAGCTGGCGGAAGACTCGAGCACACTTGGGGCACTGGTGGTACCACTGCAAAGGTTTGTCGTAGTTCCTCTGGTGGCCGCTGTGTTTCTCTACAGGAGGAGATGGAGGAGGGGGGCTGAGCGGGTATCCGGCCATGCCAGGTGGAACTGCTATTTCACTGCTACGACTGTCCACTGTAGAGTTGATAAGTGAATGTTGAGGCTCAGGGGAGTGGAGCACAGCAGGTGGGCTGGTGGGGAAATGACCGCTGATGGAGTTTTCTGCTACATTTGACACAGACTCCACCTTCACTATTGTGATGTCACTCTCTGCCATACCCTGCCTTTGGCATCTGCTCAAAATCTGGGGAGGGGACTTGGGCTGCATTATCACATCGTCGTCGTCATCGTCACCATCCTCAACCTGCTCCACCTCCTCCTCCTCCTTTTGATGGGCAGTATGCACCTGAGAGTGATCTTGCTCTCTCTGGGACTGGGAGGACAAATCCTCGTCCCTCTTTTCTCTCCTCACATCCACACCCTCCAGCTGGCGTGCAGCCTGTGGTTTGATGAACTTGCTGAGGGCTTGAGTGCACTGCTCCACAATGTGGCCCATTTGGAGGAAGCTGGCAACTGTCAGGTAGTGCACCAGCTCCAGCTCAGGAAACTCCAGCTGGCCTGTGTAACAAGACAAAAGTAACTGCCGGCCCACCTCTGCCTCCTGGATCATGGAGATCTGAACCTCCCTTGAGTCCTGTTGAAGGATGAACTGGTCCCTCAAGAAAGAGGAGCCAGCGGCAAACACCACCTTGTGACCAGGGACCTCAAGCTGATTGATGCGCACAGTGACATCACAGAAGCGCCTCTGGTGTCGTAGCAAGTTCATCTTCTGCAGCATGGAGTCCCCAAACGTGGCGAATCGGAACTGCAGGATCACCTGGTTCTGGGCCATAGTGAACCAAGGGCCAGCAGCAGTGCACCTGTTTAGGACAGATGCAGAAAGCCTATCACCTCTTTTGTATTAATTCTATGAATCTGTTATTTTGTCATACCTGTTGTACTTCAGACAGCAGGAGATCATACAGAACTATAAACTGTTTCACAGGCATGAAATCTTATCATCCTGTACATTAAGAAACACACAGCTCAGAGTGTATTTTAATACCAGATAGGCCAGACGGGACCTAAGTTAGCTACAATAGATTTACATAATGTCAAAGTACTGACTTCTTTTGAGGAAACTACGTAGCCTGGGTATTGCTATTTGAGTTACAGCAAGACAATGTAATCTTATATAAAGTGACTCCCCGTGCCTAACCTTAGAATTAACGTTAGATAAGTTTATAACTGAGCAATCTATCACAAAGCGCCTACTCCTCCACTAAGCTAGCTAACATCTCAGGCTAAGATCCATTGTAGCTAGCTGGTTAATCGGCCACATTATTGCATTGCTACTTTAGCTGACATAGTAAGAACTGCTGCGTACCTGTTAATCACTAGTAATCACACACGTTAAAGAAAGGTTTGTGATCTATAGGACACTGACCTGAGTCGTTTCTGCAGGCGGATATGATGCGCTATTCTTATTCTTCTTCCTCTTAGTTTATTGGCTGTTTGCAACCCAACTTCAGGGGCACTACCGCCACCTGCTGGGCTGGAGTGTGGAACGACCATGAAGGCATGTTAAGGATGCAGAGCCCATTTAAAGGCCCAGGGCACCGCAGCTGGAATCACCCTCGTCCTGCCCATTCTCATCCTAAATTTAGATGAGCCAAAATTTCTGTCATAAAATATAAACATACGTAAACTCGTAAAGATAATTACAGCCAATTATGAGTTCCGTCTTTTAACGAACCCCCATTTTGGAAACAAACAGCTTCTGTATATTTTTCAAGGTATCCCTCTGACCCTTGAATATAGGCTATATGGGCACAGGTCAAAGGTAACATCCATTATTTATACCGCTTATCCTAACGAGGGTCGCAGGGGGGCTGGAGTCTACTCCAGCTGGCACTGGGTGAGAGGTGGGGTCCACCCTGGACAGGTCACCAGTCCATCACAGGGCTGACACTTAGAGACAGACAACCACACACTCAGTTTAAATCAGGGGTGGCAAACTCAATCGCACAGGGGGCTAAAACTCAAAGCACACTTTAGGTCACGGGCCGAACAGGATAAAAATTGATTGAACAGACTAAAACTTAACGTTTTTTTTTAACATAAATATGAATCGAAACAGACAGGACACAATATTATTCCAAAATAAATTAACTTGAACTTAAAATCAGCAGCCGTATTTCTGCTAAGGCTTACATTTACAAACACCTGCTTTTTGTCTGGACACGACGTCGCACACTTTCATCATGCAGCTCTTCAGAAACTCTCCCTCGGTAAATGTCCGGCCTGATTTTCTCCTCTGCTCCAATAAAACTTATTTCACAGCAGCTTCACTGTTTGATTTCACTTTGGTGAAAACGTCTGCTGTGATGTCAGATTCCTCTTCAACTCCTCTACCTTCTGTAGCTTCTGCTCTGCATTCACGTTTTTCAGCTTGTCCTGATGTTTTGTCTCGTAGTGCCGTCTTAGGTTATATTCCTTAATTACAGCCACATTAGCTCCACAAATAAGACACACGGGTTTACCGACAATGTCAGTAAACATATACTCAGCCTCCCACCGGTTTAGAAAGGCTCTGTTTTCAGAATCAACTTTCCTCTTGGCCATTGTTAGGGGCTAGCTTTGACCTGAAATTAGGGTTGTATACATCAACAGACGCTTGATTGATCTGTCGTAATTGACGCGGGAATGATCGCAGGTTACCTATGTTCGGTAAGGCAGCTGTTGCGCTGCATTATGGGATTTGTAGTTTGTGTGTAATCGGCGCTTTATATCGCCGGGCCATTAAAAAAAGATATATAAAATGATCTCACATCCGGCCCGCGGGCTTTGAGTTTGACACACGTGTCCTAGTCTGTGTATCCAGGGATTTTTATGGAAGTCCATAGAAAAAGATGGCAAATACCATCATTATAGGCTAGTAGTATAAATATTAGGTTATAAAATGATTCCCAGGAGAGTCCCTATATAAATGAGATCACATTAGTATCAATACAATACAATAAGTGTCAAAAGATAATTAAAATGAGAGAAAAAATGTATCTTTGTTTTATAACTTTTCTCTAACTTATTAATTTATTTACTTTTTTCCTGTAAAACACTGAGCACTTAGTTACACTGATCTAAAAAAAACAACAACTAATAATACAATTACTAGCTATTTTATTAACTAGTAACTATTTTACTGCTAAATGACAAAAGGAGGTGGCAGAGATGTTTTGTAGCGCTTGACAATATGGTTTCACTCCCTGACATGGCTTATCATTGTACTTTCTGATAATGGAAGCATGTTAGAAACATCAAATGATCTGCTTTTGAATCATCACTACAACTAGCAGCAAGTACATGTTCACATCCAATAGTTGTTTAACCATTCATTCAATACACATCCATTAGTGACTGAATTGGGCTTTTATATATATATATATATATACACACACACACACATACAGTATATATAAGTGTATATATATACACATAACAAAATATACAAACAAAAATGTACTTGTAGGAGGCCAGTCTGCAATTTAATTTGTTGTGCTGGCAAATAAAATTACAGAACATCAGCATTAAGGAGTGTCACGTCTTCTTGAAAAACCTGGAAAAGAAAAAACCCAGTCATTAAATTTCAGGTTCTGTGCAGCGTTTCACCTGAACACAGTACTGTTATTCATTAGTGAAGGTTATAAGGCCACTTTTACTATATACAGCAAAGCTGTATTTTGTTATCAAAAGGAAAATAGCAATGAATATTTCATTTTCAGGCTGTGATTACAATTCATAACTATTATGTGCAAAATAAAATCTCAAATCTCAATAAAATGTATTAAGTAGCCCTGTGATCATCTGAATTAATATAGCCATCGATCAATGATATTTTACATATGAACCGACATGAACAGGGTGGGTAATGTACTGTATTGTATACTAGCTTCCATACCAGGTAAGGCTGTATCTACCCAAAGTGACCAAGGCAACCAGTCCTACTGATGCAGCAGCAGACAGCAATGAAATCTTCAGAACATAGGATGTACCTGGAACAAGGAAATTTCACATAAGTAACTGGCAACTAGCACATTCTATTTGTTTTTTGTATTTTAAAATACATTCTGTCTCCTTCTGGTGTAACTTCAGAATGTTAGAGCTAGGTAAAATATAAAAAATAAATCTTAATGTGAGAGCCCTAATTTTAAAGATTTGACTACAATGTTTGGGCATTTTTGTCAGTGCAGTGAGTTACCTCTTACTTTAGCCCACAGGACACATGAACTTTTTAATGCCTGGGAGAGAAAACATTTAGTTTAAAAAATAAAGTCTGCTGCAGTTTCCCAGTCAATACATTTTATACTGTACTGTACAATTGTTTCACCCACTGCTTTCCACTGACTGACAGCTCGCAAGATGATATAATAGTCCCTGCCATTTTCCAGTGGTGCATTATAGAAGCCCCCATAGCTGAGTCCATCCCCTACAGTAAAGTTCATCTCTGTCCCGACTTGTGTTACGTGGATCTGGGCAGCGATGTATTTTGAAGATGATTTGCTCTTGCTTGATGGGTCTGGGCTTCCAGGAGAGGAACAATCAAACACCATAATCCCCTCTACAGGAAGCACAAACACTTGGTACAAACTGCCAAACAGAGAAAAAAAAATCTTTATTTTAAATGTGCTACATGCAGCACTTTAACTTACATAATGTCCATATTAATGTGAAAGGAACAGTTGAAGCATTTTGTGAATGTGGTTTTATTTAGATATCCTCTGATTCCATTGACATAATTAAGCCATAAATAAAGCTATATTAACATGTGAATTTCTTTACACTAAAGATTTGTAACACCTAAACATAACTTGTACATGAACGTGATCTGGCCCTGAATATAGCACAACCAATATTGAGTTTTGTAAAGGTCGACCTGTTGCTGCCCTCTGCTGGACAAACTACAGTATGCAATGAAAATATTTTAAATTATAGCTGAAACATAGTTTGGCATTTCTACACTGAGATTTTTTCTTGTTACTTCTCATCTGACATATTACACAATAAATTTGCAATAATTTAATATGAACTTATTTATCGACCTGGCTGATTTGTTAGTCTAGCTTCAGCTCATATACCTGCTTTTCACTGGTGTTTGGGTTACAGTGAGCGTCAGTGCAGGCCAACCATAAATACTGGATGGAGACTGATTTCACATTCATGCAGGTTCAGTGTACCAGTTGAAGGGTTTTGTCCATAAGTTCTAAATGTGTTATCAGCTAGATTTATTATAAGGTTTTATCAGTGATTCAACCAAATATTTAAACTGAGGACATTAATTGGTCTTTTGAAGCATGAAGATGAACGACTGTCTGTTGTGTTGCCTCTCACATACTGCACGAGTCAGATACTGTACTGATTAGGTTTTTACCTTATAGGGTCCAGTGTGTTGGCTGATCTGCGTAGCCTCAAAGTTGGTACCGGAGTCTCAAATTCTCTGTAGTAAACAACTGGCGCTGGAGGCACTGTCAAATGTTATTATATTTAACATGGTAAAGAGACCACAACAAATAAAATATGATTGTTTAACTCCTAAATATTTCTAGCAAGTTAAAAGTAAAGACTTTGCGTTAATGCTGTAATTAGGGCATTAGAAATTGGTGGTACAATGATACCTGGCAAACTGGTGTTAGTGGTGAGGGTGGCTGTGAATTTGGCAGACAGTGCAGTGATGGAGATGCTGTAGTTTGTGACTGGGAGCAGGTTGAGACAGACTTCCAGCTGGTCAGCCTTAGAGCTCAGCGACTGCTTCCTCCTGTCATGAAAAGACCTCTGGTAGTCTCTGTATCCTATGTACGTCACCTGGAATAGTTGCATGGCATGTGTCACAGAAGTCTAGAACCCTCCATAGACCAAGAAGAAAAAACATTCTGGTAATTGCATCTTAAAAGCTCAACATAAAACCAGAGAATATTGATATATGCAGAAAGATGGCCAAAGATAAACAGCAATTACAGTGACAATTACAATAAGACGTTACCGTGTAAACTTCTGTATCCTCCTCATACTTCTCTGCTTTCCAATGCACACATTTTTCATTGAGGACAAATAAATGATTGATTGGTGGCTTTCTTTCTGTAAGAGATATAGGAATGCAAAGAGTGATGGTACACCAAATATTCACCTTTCATTTGCCACAACAGAATGTCTCATCCCTTTACAAATATGTTAAAATGCAGGGCAATCACTCCATGAGCATTACATTTGTTCAGCCGCCTTTTGTGACGCCTAATGATCACTGCAGATGTTCCTAGCAGGGATTATGTTCACTTGCTTTGGTATTTTACCCACCTATACATGTCAGAGTAGCTTTCTGCCACACACCAGAGCTGCCACACATAGAGGCGCTGCTGCCCCTCCAGCTGTGATATCCATTCACACAGCGGTGGATCACAACACTTCTGTTATGCCACACCACCTCTGAGTTGGCAAGCAAGGGAACTGGGCCGCATTTAGCTGAAAAAAAAAACAGTGACACTGAATGACTGAGCTACTAAACAGTAACAGAATTCTTCCTACATACAAAAATGCACCATCTTTCTTTAACCCAGAACATAAAAGTAACAATCAAAGGGTAATGAGTTAATAGTGAAAACTTTGCAACTTTGCACTTTAAGTATTTGAAAGTGAAGCTTTGCAAGCACACTACTGTATATTTCACACATATCCATGTGTATGCCTGCGTGCGCTCCCAGAGTGCAGCATCTAGTGTTTCCACAAAAATGACCTCAAAACTCAGACTAACCACAGAACACGTAGAACCCAAACAGGGACAGACAAACTTCACCTTTTATCAATGGAAACATATCAGTAACATGGTAACAATGTCAAATGGCTCTCCCACAGTTAAACAGATGCATGTCTGTATATAAAGATTGCTACTTTACCTCTGCACTTTATAGATACTTCCCCCCACACTCCTGACATTGAACATATTGAAATATTATTTCCACTCTCCAGGTAAAATCCATCCATACACTTATACAACACCATGCTGCCTGGTCTGCTGGTGTGGTCCCACAGGAGGTTAGTATGGGGAGGGCTTAGTGGGGGACCACAGCTTAATTCTGCACACAGACATGAATTAGCACAGACTGTGGGCTTTTAACAGTTATATGGGATTTAAGAAAAACCACATTCAAATCCTTACTGACAGTCAATGAACACAATGTGACAAAAAAAGACTGATAAAAATGTGTACATAGTACATATCTGTGTTCTTATGTGTTAAGTGGAAATACATTTTACAGTATTGAGAACCAAAATTGACAGGCTTTTCTTACATTAAGTATATAGTTGGGATACAATTACTTTTCATTCTTCAGTGACAGGAACATGCAAACACATGAATTTGAAACAAAGATTCTGATGCTAAAAATGAACTAATCAGTAGTGTATCGATATATCTGTCATCAAACATTGCACCTTCACACCATAGATCAATATCCTCCCACTGTCCATTCTCTCCACATACTGAGTAGTTTCTCAGGCTCCTGGTGTGATATCCTTCCTCACAGTGGTAATACACCACACTGCCACTGTGTGATGTGCCACCCCATAGTATTTTAGCATGAGGTTTAAAACCAGGCTCTCCACAACTGATTTCTACAACAAAAACATAGCAAGTCATTACAAGTCACTGATGGTTGGACAGACGTTCAAATCACTGTCAAGGCAACATGAGACAAGCACAGACACAACTCACAAATCTGGAAACATAGTGTAAAATGGCTTTAATCAGTAGGTGACTCAAAACACTTGTGTGTCGATGGATGTCATTATCACCTTGACAGAGCAGAGACGCCTCATCCCATTTTCCACTGGCTGCGCAAACAGACATATTTCCCTCTCCAACATTGCGATATCCAGACTTACACAGATAAACAACTTGAGAGCCCATAGTGGAAATGTTATCCCACAGCATGACTGAATGAGGGAGGGGTGGCGGTACACCACAGTCAACCTCTACAGGGATGGAAATTACAGCATTAAACTGTGTGAAAATTGTTTAATATTTGGCTTTGGGCAACACAAGAAAAAAGTAATGTCAGCAACACTTTAAAGCAAATTGTTACCTTTGCATGAGATGTTTGGCTTTGTCCAGTACCCATTAATTGTGCACAGTGACACATTATGTCCTTCAACGTGATTAAATCCTACTTTACAGTAGTAACTCACTGCACTTCCAGGGGTGGAGCTGCCATTCCACACTTGCCCAGTGTGGGGCAGTATAGGCGGATCCCCACATAATATTTCTGGGACAGGAAATGATACATATGGGGAGGGGTGGTTGAGTACATAAAAATACAATTAACAATTTTTCAACAAATTAACAAAAGTGGTAGTTCTCTTCACAGGAACTCTGCACTTCATATGGTTTGACTGGTCTTCTCAGGGCAGGCACAAACTAACTTATAAGAATAAGTGACAACACCTACAGTATGTGGGTGTGGATGTACATGCAAGTGCCAAGTCATGATTTTATCTCAAAACTAGCCAGATAATAAGACCTAACATAATACTCAACAATTGTTACCTTTTTTTTTAAACATTTGGAGGTAAAAAAAAAACCAAAACAATTTCATTGTCTGAATTACCTTGGCATGACAGAGCTGGGGGTATCCACTGACCATTTTCATTACAGATGGATACATTATGTCCTCCTTTACTGTTAAAGCCCTCTTTACAGAAATAGAGTGCAGTGCTGCCAGGGGTTGAACTACCGTTCCACACCTGGTCAGTGGATTTGATTACAGGAGGACTTCCACACAAAGTCTCTACAAGGAGTAACATGTACCACAACCATGTAACATGAACACCAGGTTTGACATCAATTCATTTTAAGTTTACTTAGTAACAGAAGAAGAAAGTCACAATATGTGGATATAGGTTAGATAAGGTGTTATAATTAGCCTACAAAGCAGGATACCACTAAAATCTCCTGAAAAAAAAAATAGTGACAGTACCTTGGCAGAGCACAGATGGTGTCTCCCATTGTCCAGCAGGTGTACAGACAGAGACATTGCCCTTTCCAACATTATGATATCCAGAGTTACACTGATAAACCACCTCAGTGCCCATCCTTGAGCTGTTGTTCCACAGCATATGAGCGTGAGGGAAGGCAGGGGGAGAGCCACAGTAAACCCCTGAGAGCCAAAGCAGTGACATGCTGCAAGAAACTGTATTCACTGGAAAGCATCCAGGCTCTTTGTCCAACCACTCATTTTCATGATCCCTGTGCTCCTGCAACTGGTTAAAAACTCGCTGTATATTTAAAAGACATGCAGAGTCAATGGGCATCATTATATCACAACTCCTAAGGCTTAAACACTCAGCTTAAACACATGCCTGCTCTTTATTTATGGGGACTTTCAGCTGCTTGCATGGTATTGGGAGGTAAGTGTGAGTTCTACCAATGCATTTGGTCATAAATCATAGTAAATCCAAATTTTGAATTCATAATAATGGTGCTGGGGAAAAGTTAAGAAATCATTTATTATAATTAATCTCAAAGGGGACATGACTGTGCATACCAAATTTCATAGCAATCAGTCCAACCACAAATACCAACCTTATAATAGCACTAGAGGAAAGGTAAGAAGATCACCAAAGTCAGTAAGAGTCATCCTCTGGGGGCCAAGGCCGTACAAAATGACAACTCATCCAGTAGCTTGTGAGATATTTCAGTTTGCACCAAAGTGGTGGACTGACTGACACTGCCACCTCTAGAGCCACGCTGCTTACTTAGCTAAAACACTTAAAATATATTACAATTACACTATCAAAGTACATGTGACAATTTATTGAGATATTTGAGATGTTATCATGCATTTCACACACTGACACTGTTAGGAACACCTGAACAGTCATGCACTAGAATGACAATTGAATGTGTCCTGATGAATAATAATGAATGGTTAGTGTTGGAACAGAAAGAGCATTGGAGAGAGATAGACATGTTAGCTCTTTTTTTTTTTTTTGCTTGCTTGATTTGTTACCTTCACAGACCATGGTAAGTCCTCTCCACACACCATCAGCTCCACACACAGAACTGTTTTCACCACCCCTCCACACAAAACCTTCATCACAGACAAACATGGCCACACCGCCGTATGTGGTCCCTGTGATGGACAGCAGCACTGCGTCCTCCACTGAGGTGGGCTGACCACAGTCGACCACTGAGAGGGACATGAACATGAAACACTTTTTACTCACTGATCACACTGTCTGTATTGGTTCCACATGCACGAGGGACTTTGACTAATACAACTCCCAGGTAATAGTTTTGCTGTAGTTCACAGTCTATATCGCATAGGGTCCTGTTGCTGATCATCTAAGAGCAGCACCCACTATTTTAACCAACACTTCATTCCTATGTCAACATCAACAGAACTAATGCTATACTAACACTAAACTGCTTTACACTATTTCTATTCACCCAGTTGTGCACCAGTGACAACACTGGGAGCAACTAGGGGTTCAGCGTCGTGCTCAAGGACACTTGCAAGTTGGGGATCAAACTGCCAACCCTGTGATTAGGGGACAACCCACTCTATCTTCTGAGCCACAACTGCCGTGAGACTATATCAGTAAATGTAGTTTATGAATGTCAGAAATTACATTAAGTGCAGTTTTACCTTTGCAGGAAGCCTTGTCTTTGTAAGGGTGGAAGGGTTCGACCCCATTGTGGACTCGATATCCCGGATGGCAGCTGCACTCAAAGCTACCATCCAGGTTCTTGCACTGCCCCCCCTTTCCACATATCTCTGTGGTCGTGCACTCATCAGTGTCTACACAGTCAGTGAGAATGAGAAACAATGTGAGTATGTGAATAAAAATAGTAATGTCACCCATCAAGGCAGCACAGCGGAGCAGTGGTTAGCGCTGTCGCCTCACAGCGAGAAGGTTTCAGGTTTGAGCCCAGGCCGACCCGAGCCCCCCCCCCCCCCACC